TATGAGGATGGCAGTTAGCAGGGCAGTTAGCAGTTCTACAGGTAAATTTAAGCTGAAATATGATGATATTCGTGATTTGATTTTAGCTGAGGATGTACGCAGGAAAGATTCTAGCGAGACCTCGGGTTTGAGTTCGGCACTGATTGTTGATTCCAGAGGGAGATCACAAGACACAAACTCAAACCGTGGAAGATCAAAATCAAAGTCAAGTCAGCAAACAACCTGCTGGAATTGTGGCAAGGCTGGCCACATAGAAAGAAACTGTAGGTATCCTAAAAAGAAGGAGAATGATGACGCTATTGTTGTAAATAAAAAAATATAAGATGTACTATTTCTGGCAGTTTACAGTTCTGTTGATGATTGGATACTGGATTCAGAGGCTTCCTTCCATACATCTTCCCGTCGGGAGTTAATGCGAAATTATGTTGCAGGTAACTTTGGGAAGGTATATCTGGCTGATGGAAAAGCTCTTAACGTGGTGAGAATGAGAAGCGTTGATATTGCACTCCCTAATAAGAGCAAATGGACTTTGCAAAAAGTCAGGCACGTTCTTGAGTTGAAGAAAAACATAATCTATGTTGGGCAGCTCAATAAGGGTGATCATTCGGTACTGTTCTCAGATAACACTTGGAAAGTTACCAAAGGAACATTAGTACTAGCTCGGGGTAAGAAAACTAACACACTATATATGATTACAGGTTTACTCAGGCGAGTACACATGAGTCAGAGGTGCATTATGGGGAAGCAGAAAAAGGTCAATTTTCTGAAAAGTGGTAGAGCACCAAAGACAGGAAAGCCAAACCTTGTACAGACAAATGGTGGAGAACCACAGAGTTATGAAGAAATCTTGCAAGATGAGAATTCGAGCAAGTGGGAGCTGACCAAGAAGGAGGAGACGGATTCTCTACCAGGGAATCAGACTTGAGAGCTGGCAGAACTTCTATCGAGGAAGAAGGCTTTGCACAACAAGTGGGTGTACCGGGTGAAGACTGTGTTTGGTGGCAGTAAGAGGTACAAAGTTGGCTTGTTCAAAATGACTTTCAGTATATGCGGGATATTGCTCATGCAGTGGAAGTTGTAAGCTTGGAGGTACAACGCTACGTTGACGGTGATATGTCAGCTGAGGGTGTTACTCGTGAGAAGCTGAAGTTGTGCTCAACTTCAGCTGGTCTTCTGACATGAAGACAAGGGCTTTGAGTTGCAGAAGTGGAGGATATCATGTTTGAGGAAAAGGTCGGTATAGCTAATAGATGATGCAGCTAGTAGGTGATGCATTCAGTGTCCCAGTCTCCAAGTGGGAGAATTGTTGGGTAATGTGGAGACCCGGTCCACCAAATTTAATTAGCTTCTTAATTAAATATCTCATCTACCGTTTACCTATCACACCCACCTACCTCCCACCTACCACATCCCACCTACCGCTCACCTACCGCCCACCTACCGCTCTCATGATTTCTATAAATAGTCTCTTTTAATTTAAAGGAAATGCAAGCCAAGCAAGACCAGCCTAGTCATCTTGTGGGGGAAAGAGAGGAAGAGAGAGAGAGGAAGGGAGAGAAGAAAATAGAGATTTTCTTATAAGCGTCGAGACGCTCGATAGTGTAATTCCTCGAAGAAATAAATCCTCTACAGCTCCGTGGATGAAAAAAAATTTGTCGAACCACGTAAATCTTTGTGTCGCTCTGGTGTTTTTTCTGCGTGTAATTTTTCTTATTCCATTCTTCGTTTTATTGTCGTCGTTTTACACAACAGATTAGTGGCTTGCCGTTTGGAGAGAAAATGTAAAACAAATGTATCTGTGAAAGGGATGTTGTAGCTCTAGTGGCAGACAAAATTAGAGAATCGTCTTAGATGTTTTGGTCACATTAAACATCGATCATTTGATGATCCAACTAAGACGATAGAAGTTTTAGATTTAATTCATTTTAGGACAGGTAAAGGTAGAATTAAAAAACATGAGCATATTGTATAATTTATCTTAATTTATTAGAATTAAATGAAAATATGACACTCAATAGGACATATAGGAGAAAATAGATTCATGTAGCCGGCCCCACTAAGTGGGATAAAGACTTGTTGTTGTTGTTGTTATACAGATAATAACGGAATTGTGACCAAGGCTGTCCAGTAGCTATAGAGTTCGTCTGAAAACAAACTACATAAGAATGCTTGTTCTATGGTTGTTTTGTAACTTTCTGAGTCATCCTTCTCGTTTCTTTACCGCTGTCAGTGCTTAGTAGAAATAATTTTCTACTTGTGTCATTCTTGAATATTACTTCATTGAAAAGGAATTCATTATTTTACTGTTTTTCAGTCTTTTCTAGATTAAAGAATTGCATTTAAACTCTTTCGCAAGGAGTAAAGATCTTGCTTCTTTTTCTAGTATTTAATAAATCAACTGAATTTCCTCTAATTTATGCTCTGCTAAACTTAAAGAAATGATCCAAAGATGATTAAATATTGACTCACATCCGCTTGAAGTGCATGCGAAGATTCTCAAGCTCATCGGGGGTGAGATCATGGCACCCAAGAAGACTCCTCAATTTTTTTGTTCTTAAGAAAACTTTGCTGCTCCACACACTAGCTATTGCAGCTGCACGGAATTTTCTTCTAGCATTGAAGCTTTGCAGCCTAGAGACAACCTCAGCATCAATAAGCTCTTGCTTTGCACAATCTCCAATAACCCAAGGATGCTTCAAAAGCTGTTAGGAAGCAGATTCTCAAATAACACAATTTAAGTTGGAGTGCTTAGCAAAAACAAAAAATATTTGCTTAGGGCATTTTGGGACCACTGTTGTTTTTTTTTTCTATTTATTGTTTTTATTTTATTTTATTTTTATGTTTTGATCTGAAACAAAAAAAAATTTGGTATGTTTGATTGAAATAAGGTTGTTTTTTAAAACACTAAAACACCTAAATGTTGTTTTGAGTGTTTTAAAAAATATATTAATTTATTTTTAGAAATAAAAAATAGAAACATGTAAAAAGCATACCAAACAAATATGTTTCCATAAACAAGAGAAAACAAAAATAAAATCGATCCCAAACAAACACTAATAGTAATGGTAATCATACCTCTTCGGCGGTTGGTCTGCGATAAGGTTCAACAGCTAATAGACTGGAAATCAAATCCTTTGCTGAAGAAGTTATGGTTTTCCAAGTGTTCTCTTCAAAGCTGAAGTCACCCTACATCAAAGTTATTAAAAAATGGAATAACAATGCTGCATTTGGTGCAAATAATAATAATAATAATAAAAAAATAAATAAATAAGTTTCTGGTTGCTTGGAAAATTAGAGCAATGGAATATAATCTTAAAAGTGTATGAACTAGTTTATTAAGAAAAGAGTAAACTAATGCATGCTTACAGCAATCTTCTTAATTTTTATAACCTTACACAGCAGAGATTTCCAACACTTCAAAAGTTGCTAATTGATGAAAAAAATATACCCGACTATAAATGAGGAACAAGAAAGTCAATTTGCACGAGGAATTTCATCAAATAGATTAATGTATTATCTTTTGCTGATTCTTATGTTGAGAAAGAGAGAATAATTATGGCCTTCAACTTTCTATCGGACTACTTTTCGTCATCAACCGAAAGACGAGCACTTCAGAATAGCTCAAAAGCTGGCCTCCATGTAACTTCAAAGAATGCCTCCACGGAGGTAAGAGACAATTTAAAGCATATTATGGTTACAAAACATTCAAACTCTGCATAAAAATTATTAAATTTGGTTATATAGTAGTAATTCAATAATTCTTCCAACAGTATGGTAAGATTTGTCTATAGAACTTCCTTGGTTCAATCATACCTCAGAAATATTACATTCATTTGTTACCAAGCCAAAAATAATACAAGCTTAGGATCAGCCAAAATTAATACAAGCTTAGGCGCAATAAAATTCAAGCGTGCATTGTTTCAGCGCAGGCTATTTACTACAAAGAGTAAGGGAATTCTGGTTTCAGGGTATGGTCTTACAGCAAATTTCAGTCATTTTGATCATCATATAATGAATGAGGATTTACGAGAAAAAAAAGGAGTCCACTGAGATATTTTAATTTGATTAAGACAGGTCATTGCTCTGTTCAAAACTATAGGAGAAGAGTGTGAGGGAGCTGTTCATAGGGACCGTGCACAGGTCAGCAGTATATAAATGTTCAAATCAAACAAACTAGTACTTTAGTTAGCTCCTTTTCATGTCAGTTTCATTTTTTAAGTCACTTATAAACCCTATTTAAACTGGCTTACATAATAAGCAAAATAACTAGGTTGTCTCGTTCCCTGTATTAGTGATGCAAAGTAAACCAAGTACAAGGGTTTTCAAAATTCTGACGTTTCAAAACTCTGACGTTTTGTAGAAAGAAAATGGAAAGCAGTTTAAAATTTAGGTGAATCTGGAATTCATTGTGTAGTTCAAAACTTGTGTATCCTAAATTCGTTAGATTTGGGCAATTTCCAAACAGTACAAACTTCAATTTGTTGTTGCTGTCTGGTGGTCTCCGTCTGTCGCATCCAAAGGTCTCCAACTGTTGCTTCAGGAGGTCTTCGCCCACAGTTGCTAGCAACGAGCCCACCATATGCTGACAGAAGGCCGCATGTCTGCTGCCACCCACCCACCAACGGCCGCTCGCCTCTGGCGCCACCACCGTATGTTTAATATTAATCAGTGGTGACAAAAATTTAATCAATTCAGTGTTATTAATTTTTTACATCATTTTATATTGACACTGCTGACAGAAGGCCGCAGTGTTATTGAACATACGGTGGTCAGTACGAGTTCGAGCTGACCACCGTATGTTCAAAACTTCAATTTGTTGTTACAGCATATGTTTTGAAACAATTCAGATTGACAGTTTACTAATCAAAGCCGACCCCACTTAGTGGGAAAAAGGCTTTTTGTTGTTGTAGTTTACCAAGGAAAGCTCTGCTGAGAACTTGATTCATAATACAAAAGCTTCTTTTACATCATTGGTGAGGTCTAGAAACCATGATGATTTCAGAAGAAAATACACAACTAATCAGTGGTGTAAACGTGCCGAGTTGAGCTTGGGCTACCCTTGGCTTGATCTTAAGCTTGATTAATTTTGTCAAATTTGAGCTTAAGTCTACGAGTTCGAGCTGACTCACAAACTGACTTATTTACTATGAAAAGAGAAAATAATATTAATTTAAGGTATTGGTATAATAAAATGATAAATAGAATGAGCAATTATGAGAGAAATAAAAAGAAACCACTTAATATAAAATACAGAATATAAAAGATTATTTTTTAAGCATTTTTAATACTTTAAGGACAAAGTCTTCAAAGTGAATATATTTGGAGTATTATTTATATTACTATGCTTTTATACGAGCCGGCTCACATACTAACGAGTCGACTCGGGGCTAACTTGAATTCATGAGCCACTTATCAAGCTGGCTCATGCGTCGGCTTAAAACACACCCGTACAACTAATCCATCTCTTCTACATGTATTTTATTAAAATAGGACACTATCTTGCTAAATAATATATTGGCCCATGCAGGTTTGTAGGTATTTCTTATAGCTTGCAAGAATAAAAACATCAAAATGGTTCTGAAGCCTTAGAAGTAACACAACGACATTGTACTCTTAGTACTGACAAAAATTTAATCAGCATTAGCTGTTCATCCTAACGCACAAATTTAAAGCCATCGGTCTTTCCCTGATAGCTCATGGTTTTCATATCTTGATCAAATTTTCCTTGTTAATGAGGATAAAAAAAAATCAGATTCGCAAACAGTGAAGAAATGTTTTGGATTCCTAAATACCATGTTCTAGTTCCATGAATTTGCTTGTACAACAAAAATAACTGGTTTGGATCACGCTAACCTATAAATAAGTTCAGGTCATATTTAGATTTTTTTTTTTAGCACCATCCCTCTCTCATCTCGAGTGATCTACTTTAAATGGTATGACCCGAACAACTATTGATCCAACCTGTAACCAATATCAAAGGTAACAACTTAAAGGGCAAAAATGAAACTATCATTCTCTAGACTATACCTATCAATCACAGAAGTTAGAAAGTAGAGAGCTTACCGCTAATATCCTCTGTTGTTTATCTTTATTAGAATTAGCATGAAAAGGGGGGCACCTGCAATGATAGAAAACTTCATTAATCAGAGAACCATTTAAACATGCGCAAATGATTTTCTTTTAATTTTATTTTAGAGAAGATTTACATACATACCACCCAATTCTTATGTATTTACATATCTAACAACCAAACTTTATTTTTTACATTTAGACCACCAAAACTATGCCCGAAAAGGGTGCTCTTAAAAGTTAAAATATTGGTATTTTTGATATGATATAAAAGATTTGGTTGGTAGAAATGTAAAAAATGTAAGATTAGGTGTTAGATATGTAAAATTCATAGGAATTGGGTGGCTCACAAGTATGAATTTACACACATGACCAAAATCATACCCAGAAAGTAGAATATACAAGATCACGCCCAGCGACCACATATCACTAGCTGAAGACACTTCCCGTTTAGACAAAGCTTCAGGAGAAACATAATCTATCGACCCAAAAAGCGCGACTATTGGATCAGTAAAATCCTCCACAGAACTCAAACCAAAGTCCATTATCTTGAGAGGAGAACGCTCACTGCTGTTTAAGAAGAGACAGTTCTCTGGCTTCAAATCTCGGTGAACTATATTGGCTCTGTGAAGAGCCCCTAAACCAGAAGCTATCTGACGGACCACTTCGGCTGCCTCTACTTCTGAATAACGCGAATGAGCAATTATTCTGTCAAACAGCTCTCCGCCAGAACAAAGCTCCAGTACAAGATGAACTCCATGCATGTCTTCGTAAACATCGTAGAGGTGGATGACATTAGGATGAGGTGAAACATCTTCCACAATCCTTCTCATGACCAGAATCTCATTAGTCAGCAGAGCATCAGAAATGGATACCTGCTTCAATGTTGGAGGTTTCAGTCCTGCGTGACCTCGATTCATTCCTTGAGGTGTGAATCCCAACCTTTTGAGTGTCTTTATGGCAACATGCCTCATACTTCCATTAGCTTTGTCTACCCCTCTTCTTACAACGGAAAAGCCACCTCTACCAAGAACATCAATTACTTCATAGTCATCCGTGAGCTTTCTGTTCTCCAGATTCGACATTGGATCGAGTGATTGGAAGCTAATCCTCAAGTGGGGACAGGGAAAGCTTCAAATTCGAAAATTTTTTATTAAAACTATAGAACACTTCAGATAATGAAGAATTAGTCATTCAACGACTATGAAATCAAAATAACTGCAAACAAATCGAACAGCTAATTAAGAAGGGGAATATAAATGTAGAAAAAATAATCAATGACGAAATATCAACCCGATCATGCAAATTTTACTGCTCAAAATTCGAAGTGACAAAGAGAAAGAGAGATGTAAGTAAAGAAATACCTGAAAACCAGTTAGGGTTATAAGCCAAGTAGCCAAAAAACATTCATCAGCTGACAAAATCAGAACTTCAGGAGAGTCAACGGCAATTTTGATCTATGGAGACAAAAGGAGTAATCTTTAGAGCTGCTTCGAGAAAGTTGATGGTATAATTAGTTTGAAACCAGAAGGTCCCAACGAGGAACTTCTTGAACTGATGCGGGGAGTGATAGCTCGAGATTGACCAATGAAGTGTCCTTAGATTTTAAATATATATATATATATATATATATAGAAATATATATATATATATATTTATCTTCTATAAAAAGAATCCGCGGTGAAGAGAGACAGAGATTAAAAAATATGACCGAAGAGAATAGAGAGAATAGAGCAGCGAGAAAGGCGACCGAGGATACGAAGACAAACAGGCAGAGAGCGGGACAAAAAGAAAGCGCAAGCAGCTAAATAACTGCGGGACTCGTTCGTTCAGCTCCGGGAAGAAGACGGGCGCGAGGCTTATAATTTATAGAAAAAAGAGGCTTGTTTTTTAAAGAGTTTTTTAATAATTAATCAAAAAGAAAAAAGAGGCAATTTACATGTACATCACACAATTCTGACATATTTACATATTGAATACTTCCAAGCTTTAATTTTACGCAAACAAATCAAATTTTTACTATCACATCAAACCTAATACTTTTATAAATTTAGAAAGTTAGATCCACTTTTTTTTTGCATAGGATTTTGATATAAAAATGTCGTATAAGTAAATATCAAATTTTAGGTGTTTGACATATTAATATATAGGATATAGATGAACCGGTCCACTAGTAGAAGAAATTATAGATGAACCGGTCCAGACGAATGTCATTCGTATTGTTGGGATTATGCTGGTTAGTATCGGAGGTGTAACTTTGTTTCGATGAGCTTGCCATAAGAGGTTTTTGATCGAAAAAATTGAGTACAGTTGCTTTCAATCCGAAGCGCAACACTCACTCTCTAATCATATTCACTGATACATGTTTAACCTTTTCAGGGAACCCCTACAACAACGTCATCATCATCATTGCTACGATAATTAAATACTAGATTGGTAGCATCTTAATCAACAGTAATAACTTTGTGAACATTCTGTTCAAGTGTGTATTTGACAAGACGGGCTTAAGAATGATTATTAACTACACCTATCAGATCACTCTATGAGTTCTTAAGTGAGAGGAACTAAGCTTTAAGAATAATCGCACCAGCAGTCACCTAAGGAGAGTGTGAGATATTGTTCACATACATAGAGAATTTTCTGGTAGTTGACTTATCTCTAATTTAGAACACCATCTACGGTCGAGATCTACTCTATAAATTCTAAGTCACGGTCTTAACATATTATGTTATAGTGAAGTTTTTCAATTTATCGGGAGATCATCACTATTCGGGAGAATCTAGAACAATCCTGGACCAACTACCTCTGAGCAGTTAATAAACGTAGAGTAGGAGATGCTCGATCTTCAGAACTAGTACGAAGGGGGTCTCAAGGCCAGCGAGACCACCCTTAATATCCCTGCAAACAATAATGAACCTAGTAAATTTTCTTACATTGAAAATCTTGATGCAGGAATAAAATACTTGTTGATTTAATCCCTCTTAAAACACCGTGATGTCTTTACCTGGTTAGTTGCTAAAATGTCAAGGATATCAATAAATGTCACTTGCCATCAGCTAAATGCCAATATAGTCATCTGACCAATGTAGAACATGTGATTGTGCACCATCACTCTGGCCAAACAAATATAGGAGAAGGTTTCAGCAGCTGCAGAAGGCCAACTACATTCGAGAAATGTAATCCTTAAACTAGGTGTTAAACATGGTGATGGTATAGAAAGCTATCTAAAAATGAAAGAAATTCGCGGACTTAACAACTGTAAACTCTACATGCCTGAATGTCAACTACCCATTGTCAAGGATTGACACATTGACAGATTTAATGGTCGCGCACTCTTACTGATTGTCGGCGCTATTTTGTGTTGGAGAGTTTTCTGTAAGTAGCTGTCAGTCACCGGAATCGAAATCCCGTCGCCCGCTTTGGAAGGACGTTGTTGAAGTTTAGAAAAGTTTAGAAAAGTATGAAATCAAACAGACCCCATATTTTTCATAGTTTAAATGAAAGAGCGTTGTACCTCAAATCCTATATTTATCCCGAACGATAAACACAAGTTTTGAGGATGAGGCTCGATCAAATAAACTAAAGAATATATGACAATCGTTTGGTCTGCAAAACTATTTTATTTGCCGACTTTATTTGCCGACAAATTTTTTATTTGCCGACAAATTTCCCTATTTAATATAAATAATTAAATAGGTTTTATATTAAGTTGGGTTCGGACATGCTTCCTATAAGGGCAAGCCCATTTTCAGTGTTATTTCGAGTTGGTTTATGGGGAGCTGCCCGTAAGAAGCTGTCGGTCGCTGGAATTAAAATCTTATCGCCCGCTTCAGAAGGACGTTGAAGTATGAAATCAAACTGACCCCATATTTTTCATAGTTTAAAATGAAATAGTACTATACCTCAAATCCTGTATCTATCCCAAAGGATAAACACAAGACTTAAGGATGAGGCTCGATCAAATTAACTAAAGAAAGTATGACGTCCGTCTGGTCTGCGAAACCTTTGTATTTGCCGACAAATTCCCCTATTTAATATAAAGGATTAAATAGGGTTTATATTAAGTTGGGTTTGGACATGCTTTCTATAAGGGCAAGCCC